CCTGGCCCTGGGGTGCCTGTTGGGGAAGTTGCCTCCTTTGCAGGCTGGCAAACTGCAGCTTTGAGGCCCATGGAAAGTCATTGCTGTGGCCCTGGGCCCCCAAACTGCAGCTTTGAGGCCCATAGAAAGTCATTGCTGTGGCCCTGGCCCCCTGTTAAGGCAGCTTTGAAAGCATCAAGAAAGTCATTGCTGTGGATCTGAGGTGCCTGCTGGGGACGGTGATTGGAGGGTTTGGCGGGTTTAGGAGGGTTTGGAGCGTTTGGAGGGTTTGGAGGGTTTGGAGAGTTTGGAGAGTTTTGGAGAGTTTTGGAGGGTTTGCGGGCTGGCAAACGGCAGCTTTGAAAGCCTAAGAAAGCCATTGCTGTGGCCTGGCCCTGGGGTGCCTGTTGGGAAGTGGCCTGGCCTAGGGTGCATGTTGGGGAAGGTGTTTGGAATTTTGGAAGTTTGGATCCTTTGCAGGCTGGCAAACGGCAGCTTTGAGGCCCATGGAAAGTCATTGCTGTGGATCTGAGGTGCCTGCTGGGGACGGTGTTTGTTGGGGAAGGTGTTTGGAATTTTGGAAGTTTGGATCCTTTGCAGGCTGGCAAACTGCAGCTTTGAGGCCCATGGAAAGTCATTGCTGTGGCCCTGGCCCCCAAACTGCAGCTTTGAGGCCCATAGAAAGTCATTGCTGTGGCCCTGGCCCCCTGTTAAGGCAGCTTTGAAAGCATCAAGAAAGTCATTGCTGTGGATCTGAGGTGCCTGCTGGGGACGGTGTTTGGAGGGTTTGGCGGGTTTAGGAGGGTTTGGAGCGTTTGGAGGGTTTTTTTGGAGAGTTTTGGAGAGTTTTGGAGGGTTTGCGGGCTGGCAAACGGCAGCTTTGAAAGCCTAAGAAAGCCATTGCTGTGGCCTGGCCCTGGGGTGCCTGTTGGGGAAGTTGCCTTGGCCCTAGGGTGCATGTTGGGGAAGGTGTTTGGAATTTTGGAAGTTTGGATCCTTTGCAGGCTGGCAAACGGCAGCTTTGAGGCCCATAGAAAGTCATTGCTGTGGATCTGAGGTGCCTGCTGGGGACGGTGTTTGAAGGGTTTGGCGGGTTTTGGAGGGTTTGGAGCGTTTGGAGAGTTTTGGAGGGTTTGCGGGCTGGCAAACGGCAGCTTTGAAAGCCTAAGAAAGCCATTGCTGTGGCCTGGCCCTGGGGTGCCTGTTGGGGAAGTGGCCTTGGCCCTAGGGTGCATGTTGGGGAAGGTGTTTGGAATTTTGGAAGTTTGGATCCTTTGCAGGCTGGCAAACTGCAGCTTTGAGGCCCATAGAAAGTCATTGCTGTGGCCCTGGCCTCTGTTAAGGCAGCTTTGAAAGCATCAAGAAAGTCATTGCTGTGGATCTGAGGTGCCTGCTGGGGACGGTGTTTGGAGGGTTTGGCGGGTTTGGAATTTTGTTTTGGAAAGTTTGGAGCCTTTGCGGGCTAGCAAACGGCAGCTTTGAAATTCATAAAAAGTCTCATTGCTGTGGCCCTGGCCCTGGGGGTTTGGAATTTTGGAGGCGTTTGGAGCCTTTGCGGGCTGGCAAACGGCAGCTTTGAAAGCTCATAGAAAGTCATTGCTGTGGCCCTGGCCCTGGGGTGCCTGTTGGGGAAGCTGCTTAAGGGTAAAGGTTTGGAGGGTTTGGAAGAGGACAAGGTCCACACCTGCGGTGGTCCCAGGCGCCGCCCCGGCCTTGGCGAAGGCCGGGGTCGGCGGATAAATGTGTAGGTGGGTTGATAAAGCTACTTATAGATACAGGGCACCATGCAACTTCGTCAGACTTAGTTGTTATAAATCCATGAAAGTCGATCCGGGGGATTATTTCACTGAAAGTCAAAAAACAACATGTATATTTTATGGATTATATAGTTTGATGAATGACAAAATGATTGATAATTGGATGTAATTGGGGATGTGTTATTGTTGTGGATCCGACTTTAGTATATGCTCCATAAACCAATCCCTTAACCTACTGATTTCATCTTATTTCCACCAACTTGGCTAAGTGCAGGGGACACCTTGATCACCAATTTTTACTGGAAACTCATCTTCCAAAACTGAAGGCACTAGGCCACGAGGCTAACTGGGTTGATGCTTGCGTGGTGGGTTAGAAAGCGGATGAAATGGGCTTAGCTCATGGCCAAAGTTTCTTGGGTATTTATTTTCTCATAAGTTCGGGGATGGTCATCACATGTCATCACCCCATTTTGGAGTCGATTTTTTTTCCGACCATTCTGGGCATTCATGATGCACTGGCAGCCTCAATTGATCTTTGCGAAGGAGTATCATAAAACCCCACATTCTAACGGGGAGCGGTCAGGACTTGATCCGAAAAGGCTCACGTTTGCCAAATCTCCAAAGCCGTTTGTTTGTTTGGGGATATGGAGACCGCGGTGGACGTTGTGGTGCAACGGGGACAGGAGAGATTTTTATTCCAGTTGCGGGATGACCCCCAGAAGTTCGGGGATGGTCGTTTTCCCCCCATTTTCGGGGAATCAGAGCAGAAAAGTGGGCCAAGTTCTATTGGTTTTTGGTAATTCGATTGGTGGAAAAGATAAGAGTCATTTTCGGAACCCTCAAAACCACAGACTGCCAATTTAGGGATGCAGCAAACTGTTCAGGAAGATGGTGCAGGAGATCTCAGGCTGGGTGCAATCACAAATGCCGTGGCGTTCGTTTTGTGTTCTTGTCGAAAAGGTGGGTTTGATGAAGAAATGCGGATACTGTACCTGACTTGTTTGTTAACTTCAAGAATTCTAGGAATTGTTGGTTCTAATATTGTTCTGTGACGTCTCTTGCACATGACTGGTATGCCTCGGATTCGAGAGCAGCAACCCAAAGCAACACTTAACTTAACCATTTTGATATTATATGGAGGTTTCCTAAAATGGGGGTACCTCTAAATTATTCATTTTAACAATGATTTTTTATTCTAAACCATCAATTTTGGGGTACCTCCATTTATGGAAATTCCATGTTTTGGTTCATGTTATTGACTGGCTTGGCTGAAACTTCCCCATTCGAGATGCGTTTGCAATCAACCGGTCCAAGTGTGGACAATTCGAGAGTTGTTTTCCATGATATGGTCAGTCAATAGATATTGGTAGGGTCGATAAAACCCAAAGTCCCGGCCCAAAACATAGGGTATTGAACCAGAATCAGATGCTTCTCCCTCTCTAGACAGAGTTTTTATTCGCAAACTGCACAGGGTAGCTGGAACTGCAGTTCCAACTGTGGGGAGATCCATGTCCTGTGGGATTCCCCCATCAAATTTGCATATTTAATTGGCTTATTTTGGATAGGGCTATCACTATAGGATTAACTTCAGTGGTAAACCAGTTATACAATATATGTTGATATGACTATTATGTATAGCTGGCTAAGCCGCTACAACTGCCATGGGATAAGACTCGGTCATATGTATGTATTGTAATTACATATAATGCTATATATTTCCAAATTAAATGATTTCATTTAATGAACAGTAGCCAGTGAATGATTAGTAATATCCACGGTATATATTTTTTAGTCACTATCTAATAATATTTATATAAATTATTTGTATATACTGTATAATATATATATATATACATACACAATTTTATCCGATAATCTCCAACATCATATCTACCCTCTGGTAAACTGGTAAACGTTAACAAAAAACTATGGACAATCACCATGCTATTAATGGGTAAATCAACTATTTCCACTGGGCCATTTTCAATAGCCGAGGCCTCGGGCTCCGCCATGTGGGCTACGGCATTCCCACGGAGATGTTTGGACCGTGCCCTGGGGAAAGGTCAGGTGTAGCTACAACGTACAACGTACTGATATATATATATATATATATATATGTATATACCTCGACCCTCCAAATCCTAGAAAAATATAGGTGTTTTCGGAATTTGACCTATATCGACTGATTTTACCCAAAGCACCTAGATACAACTTTGGTCTTCAATTTTAGGACTTTGATTGCATGATTTTGGGCTTGGTGAGACAAAGGCCAAAAAAGGTTTGCAGCGCATCAAACGACTAGGGAGAAAACCCGCAAAACCCCGCAAAAAACCCGCAAAAACCCGCAAATCCTGAAATCTCGTTGTTTTAGGTAGTTTTCAGATTTTTTTGCTGTTCCAAAAATCATCACGGTTTGTGTACCCGGCCGTAGTGCTGAGATTTTCCCAGAAACATATATGTTTGGAACAAAGTGAATCAGTTTTTGGTTTGTTTGACCTATCTTCTTAGAACGGCCATTTTTTCCTCGGCAGTGGAGGGTCGAGGTATATATAAATATGTAGTAATCCCCACAAACATATATTTATATGTATATATGGTACACATCATTATATATTATGATACATTATGACGCATATATATATACATAGATGGATGGATGGATGGATGGATGGATAGATAGATAGATAGATAGATGTATCATAAATGTTCAGATATGCGTAACTATATATTTAGAAAACAATGCGATATTATATATATATATAAACATGTACATAACACTAATGATATGAAATACACACACACATATGTATATATATATATGTGTATAGAATAGATAAATTAATAAATAAATAAGTAAATGAATAAATATATATTTATACACACAATATACCAATATAGATGTAATATCTTATATGTAGAACATCTGATCGGGTGGGCGGTCGAACCCGTTTACCCACCATCCAGCGACGGTTTTCTTTTAGGCATTGTACGAGTCAATTGCAGACGGACCGAATCAGATTCGACCTGCCTTTATCAGATTGTCTGGCCATTTGCAGGGGTAGGTAGCTCAAAGTTTGAGATGTGATATCCATTTAAGCTATAATTTCATTTATATCCTTCCGGTGCGCAACGTGGAAGGTACGTCTCAGCTGCAGTTGATACCGTGGCAGCAATTTCGACGGATGACAATGCGCTGGCGGGTTTCCGCTGGTCCTTGACTCTCGTTGCCAAGCCCCTTGGTCAATGACCGGTTGAGCAGTCGCTGCGATCTAGCCCTGTAGAGGATTGTATACAGGGGATGATGCCATCGTCAACCAACAGGAGCAACCGGGTATCTCATATATGTCATTCCATATATACAATATGATTATCACAGGATAATACAATGGGATTATAACTGCAATGACAATCCATGGGGAATCCGGTTCTCAAGCACGGTTAGGGTCCCCCGAAGCTTGATGCTGTTTGATGGTACCATTTTTCATTCAACCAACTATTTTTGGGAGACATGCCGTTGATATAGAGTTTCTGGGGGGTTATTGCAGTCTAACATATTGGAACCGAGCAACCAGCAGGGGAGCTTTGTTTTTGCTCCCACCTGCACCTGGAGAGTTGGATCATTTCCCTCGAAGAAACATGGGAATCTCCATCTCTGTGTGAGTGTGAATTTTATGGAAAGGTATAGCAGCTGTGCTGTTTCTTACTTTCGACCCAACTGGTTGACATATCCTTCGTTTGCTCAGGGAAATTTTGTCATCTGGACCTGGCACAATCCCAATTGAGTCGTGAACCACTTCCTGTATTTTTGCCCGTGAATTCCTCGTTTGACTGAACCTCATTGATCCAGGATATATCATTGTTGTGCCCATGTTATCCCAATGTTATCCCATGTTATCCCCGTGGACCAGGATTTTGGTGCGGGCGGTGGGAGAGGGTGCTACCTTGGTGATGAGAGCCATCAACACCAATCAGGAGCCGCGTGAAAAGGCAGAGTCGCTTTTGGGGTGAATAATATAATTTCATGATATTTCATGGGATATTGAATCCCATTCAAAATCTACAAATCATTGTTGTACTCCCATGAAATATGATGTAAGGTGATAAATTCCAGTATATCACCATTTTCCCCATTTATCCCCATTTTGACGTAAAGTTCAATGTTTTTTTTGATTCAGCTATAGTGGGATCTACAAATGATGCAATCTAGATGGGATTTCAATCCATTCTTGGGGCACACCTTGTGGAATGCGGTACCGCCCAAAACGATTGAGGAAGCTTATCTCTTCAAGAATTTTAGTAGAGTAGGATATCACTTGCATATATCTGTTTCAGGGTTGCTATATGTGTTTGTCCAAAAACAAGCTCCTCCAAAAATCGCGTGGTCTAACATCATGTTCTCTACAAAAATAGCGATTTTAAAGGGTACGCGGTACGCATCATTTTCAGACACATCTGAAATCTGAAATTCATATCAAGTGGGTCATAAAATAGTTTTATACATACTGACAACATATGTATATCTATAATAATATATATATATATATAGTAATACATTTATATATATATATATAGTAATATAGACATAGTAATATATATATATACATATATTATATGATATATATATATATATCATATAATATTACATATATATATATACATATTATATTACATAATATTACATACATATATCCGTATCCACAGGAGAATTCCACAAACTTCCCATATCTCGCTGTTTATGTTGCCACAACTTTATGTTGCCACAACTTTCTGTTGCCCAAGGGCGCAAAAAACATTGGCAGGAGCTGGCCATGCGCAAGGCTTTAGCCATCGCCCCCCGTGGTCAAAGAGCCATGGAGCTGCTGAATATCTCGGTGCCTGTGGCGGAGGAACACGTTTTTTCGGATCATCTGAGGGATGTTGCCAAAACAAACCAAGGTATAAGTGTAGCAACATGGGGATGAACCATGATTCTGGGTAAATTATAGCGACCTCACTGGAATCATGGTTTCTTTAAGGGGAATGATCCCACAATATTTTTTTCAGGTGAGTGAAATCTTCTAATTTACTCAGATGATTAAACCAACCAGTAAATTAAGATGGACCCTGAAAATGGATGAAAATGGATGAACATCGCCTCCAATGGAAACTCATCTTCCAAGCCCCAACTTTGGCAGTGTCTATGTTGATTTACTGGAGGGTAGACAAACCATCATGGATGGACATACTATATTGTGTGGAGTGATATGTATATATATACACATGCATACATACATATAGCCAACAATATGATAGATGTGACTGAACACAGTGGTTTAGTGAAGTTTCAGTGGTTTAATCATATCTATACAAAGATATTATAAACTTGATATGATATTTGGATGTATCTGGACGCCCGGGCCTTTGCCAAATATGGGGCTTCAACAACGACAGGAATTTAATGGTAATATGAAAGGGAAAAATAAGGAACATTAATTATATATATATAGTTATATATGTATACGGATATATATATATAATAAAAATAATAATAGTAATAATATGTAATAACTAAAGGACCGGATAACCCCACAAATCAACTTCTTCCAAGAATTAGAAACAGAAGTTGAAGCGGGATGGGTGAGGAAGGAAAGACGAAGGAGGTGGTGGAGGATAGATAAGTTAAAAAAAGTTAATTGTATGCGAAGTATGTGAAGTTGTATGTGAAGAGTGTGGCGAACCCTGAATCAAAGGGAATGTTTTGTTAAGAGGTTCTGTTCAAGGTAGCAAGCACGATGAAGTTCACTGCACTCTGAGGCGCGTAACACATGAGTTTGGACCCAGAAGTTCATGACACCGTGTGTCATGCAATGCCTAAGTTTGGATACAGCAGTTCACTGCACTGTGAGGCGTGCAACGCATCAGCTTGGATACGGCAGTCTTATGCAAGTTGATGCATGTGTCACATGAGTTTGAATCCGGCGCTTTAGTGCATCTTCAGGTTTGCAGCACATGAGTTTTGATCGTTCGTTTCGAATTAGTACACCGAATCTCTTTTGACCTCTGAAGTTAAGCAGGAGACTGCCCACGCAGTACTGACCTAGGGGACTGGTTGGGAAGTGCCCCGAGTGCTCCCAGCAGAGCAGGGGTTTGGATACAGCAGCTCATTGCACTTTGAGACACGCAACGCATAAGCTCGGATACGGCAGTCTCATGCAATTTGATGCATTTTACACATTTTGAATCCAGCGCTTCATTGCATCTCCAATTGTGCAGCACATAGGTTTGACCGTTCTTTCCGAATTAGTACACCCGACCTCTTTTGACCTCCGACCGTTCTTTCCGAATTAGTACACCCGACCTCTTTTGACCTCCGAAGTTAAGCAGGAGGGAGCCCGCGCAGTACTGACCCAGGGGACTGGTTGGGAAGTACTTAGAGTGCTCCCAGCAGAGAAGGGCTTTGGATACAGCAGTTCACTGCACTTTGAGGCATGCAATGCATAAGCTTGGATACGGCATTCTAATACAGTTTGATGTAATGTGTGCCACACACAAGTTGGACTCTGGCGCTTCAGTGCATCTTCAGACGTGCGCCGCGTGAGTTTTGATGGTGCGTTTCGAATTAGTATACCAGAGCGGGGTCTTTGGTACAGCAGTTCAATGCACTTTGAGGCATGCAGCGCATAAGCTTGGATATGGCAGCCTCATGCAATTTGGCGCATGTTACACATGTTACACATGAGTTTGAATCCGGCGCTTCGTGCATCTTCAGACGGGCAGCCCATGAGTTTTGATCGTTCGTTTCGAATCAGTATACCAGCAGAGCAGGAGGCACGGAGACTGATTTCCTATCCGTGCCAACGAAGCTACAGAAATCAGTTGGAAGAGCATTGGGACACCAATTCTTGTACCTGCACATTGTTTTTGAACGGCAACTGGGCTAAGCCAGAAACCCAGCAGGCGGAAACACAAATTCTCATTTCATCTCATTTCATCCTCTCCTTTCGGGCCCCTTCGGGGTGTTTCTATGCGTATAGTGCTTCTCATGCACCTGGAATTCTGATAAAGTGCCAGGGAAGCTTGGCGGTGCGTGCGCTGGGGATACCAGATTTTGTTCAAGAGTTACACCAGACGGGCTGTTACAACGGAATTCGGTTCAAAGGTGTTCGCACCCTATTGTCCTACAGAAGCAGATCTTGCACCATGCGCCAAACCACAGCAACCAAGCTCGTCACCAGACCCAGCCCAGTGCCATAAGTGCCACACCTACCACGCAAAACGAAGGTCGATGTAGCAAGTGCCACACTTACCACGTAAAAAGAAGGTCAATGTTACCAAGTGCCACGCCTGCCACGCAAATGGAAGGTCGATGTCGCCAAGTCCCACGCCTGCCACACAAAGTGCCGCGGCGTCGCGGGCGACCAACGGCGACCAAGTGCGCCGCCAGACCCAGCCCAGTGCCATAAGTGCCACGCCTGCAACACAAAACATACAAAACGAAGGTTGATGTCACCAAGTGCCACGCCTGCCACGCAAAGTGAAGGTGGACGTCGCCAAGTGCCACGCCTGCCACGCCTGCCACGCCTGCCGCGCAAAGATGGTGTGTGACAAAGTTGCGTGTGACAAAGGTGTGTGTGAAAGATGGTGTGTGGCAAAGTTGTGTGAAAGATGTTGTGTGAAAGATGGTGTGTGACAAAGTTGTGTGTGTGTGTGACAAAGTCGTGTGTGTGTGACAAAGTTGTGTGTGACAAAGATATGTGTGTGACAAAGTTGTGTCAGTTGTGTGTGAGAGATGGTGTGTGTGAAAAAGTTGTGTGTGACAAAGTTGTGTGTGCGACAAAGATGTGTGTGTGTGTGACCAAGCTGTGTGTGTGTGTGTGACAAAAATGTGTGTGACAAAGTTGTGTGTGAAAGATAGTGTGTGGCAAAGTTGTGTGTGACAAAATTTTGTGTGACAAAGATGTGTGTGACAAAGCTGTGTGTGACAAAGATGTTTTTGACAAAGTTGTGTGTGAAAGGTGGTGTGTGACAAAGATGTGTGGGACAAAGTTGTGTGTGACAAAGATGTGTGTGACAAAGATGTGTGTGTGTGTGAGAGATGGCGTGTGACAAAAGTTGTGTGTGAAAGATGGTGTGACACAGTCGTGTGGTGAGTGTGACGAAGCGCGCGGAAGGAGGAGGAGAGGAGGCGGACGGGATACAGAACCAAAAACAAGAACCCCACACAAAGATGTGTGGAACAACAATAACGTTGGATCCTGATTAGTGTAAGGCCCCCCCCGTCAAACAATTTTAGGATCCACTTTAAAGTGATATTTTTTAAGTGCCAGGTCCTGAATGAAATGTGATCAATTGATTTCAATGAATTTTCAGTTGGTTTCAATTGATTTCATTTGACTTTCAATTGATTTCAATTGATTTCAATTGATTTCAATTGATTTTCAGTTGATTTCAATTGATTTCAATTTACTTTCAACTGATTTTAATTTACTTTCAATTGGTTTCAGTTTACTTTCAATTGATTTCAATTTACTTTCAATTGATTTCAATTTGCTTTCAATAGATTTTATTTTATTTTCAATTTATGTTCAAATGATTTTCAATTGATTTCAACTTACTTTAAACTGACTTTCAATTGATGTCAATTTACGTTCAATTGATTTCCAATTGATGTCAACTTACTGTCAATGGATTTTCAGTTGATTTCAATTTGATTTCAATTTACTTTCAATTGGCATCCCAAAGTAATCCCATAGAAATATCATGAAAATGCCATAGGAATCCCTGCCAGAAATCCCATAGAAAGATCATAGATATAACATGGAAATAGCATAGGAACAACAAAGAAACCCCATAGAATTCCTTCAGGAATCCCATAGTAATTAATCACATTGAATATCATAGAAACATCATGGAAACCCCATAGGAATGCCATAGGAATCCCAAAGGAACCCCAAAGAAATCCCATAGACACACCATAGAAATACCATAGAAATCCCATAGGAACCCAATGGAAATCCCATAAGAATACCATAGAATTCCCATAGCACCCCTTCAGAAATCACATGGTAATCTCATAGAAATATCATAGGAACATCAAGGAAGCTCCATAGAAATTCCATAGGAATCCCATAGAAATCCAATAGTAATACCATCGAAATATCATAGAAATCCAATAGAAATTTCATGGAAATCCAACAGAATTCACAGAGAAATCCCATAGAAAAATCATAGAAATACCATAGAGATCCAATAGAAATCTGATAGAAATCCAATGGAAATCCCATAGACATCTCTTGGAAATCCCAGAGAAATTCCAAAGAACCACCATGGAAATCTCATAGAAATCACACAGGAATCCAATAGAAATCCCTTAGTAATCCCATAGAAATACCATAGAAATCCAAAAGAAATATCGAAGAAATCCCAAAGAAATCCCACAGGAATCCAATGGAAATCCCATAGGCATCCTTTTGAAACCCATAGGAATCCCATAGAAATACCATTGACACCCCATAGAAATCCCATAGTAATCCTATAGAAATATCATAGAAATACGATGGAATCTCACAGGAATCCAATAGAAATCCCATAGATCGAAATATCATAGAACCACCATAGAAATTCCACAAAAAATCATGGACATCCCATAGGAACCTCTAGAAATATCATAGATTGTTTGATTTTAATTCCCAGAGTATGTCATAGAAATAATTTATCATAGAAATCGAAAAGAAATATCATGGACATCCCACAGAAATCCCATAGGAATCCAAAGGAAATCCCTCAGAGATCCTTTTGAACCCCCATAGGAATCGCACAGAACTACCATAGACACACCTTTAGAAACACCATAGAAATCAAGGAGAGGATGCCAGGAGAATTGAACTAAGTAAGAGACAAAAGCTATAGCAAAGGAAAGGAAAAGGACAGGAGAAACGGATTTTGGAAAATGTTTATTTCAAAAAAAAACTTGACACAATAGAGGACCCCCACACCAGACATATTATTGAGGATCAGAATTGCTCACGGACTACCCCCTCGAAAAATTGTTTGAGTGCTGTTTTTTTACTTGGGTTTTCATAAGGCATCCTATGTTTTGGGAAATTAGACATTTTGAGAACTCCAAGAGAATGGAGCTAAGAAAGTTAAAAAGAGAAAAGTATTAGCAAAGGAAAGGAAAAGGAACGGAGAAAAGGATTTTGGATTTTTTTTGTTTCAAAAAAAAACTTGACACAATAGAGGACCCCCACAACAAACATACTATTGAGGATCAGGGTTGCTCATGGACTACCCGTTGAAAAATTGTTTGGTTTCTGTTTTTTTTAATTGGGTTTTGATAAGGCATCATATATTTTGGGAAATTGGGCATTCTTGACAATTACAGAAAGTAAAAGAAAAAACTTTAGCAAAGGAAAAGGATAAAAGGACTGTTTGAAAATTTGTCACCTCAGGCAGCAGCTGGACACACTAGAGGACCCCCACAACAAACATATTATTGAGGATCAATATTGCTCATGGACTACCCCCTTGAAAAATTGTTTCTTCAGACAACAAACACATATTCATCAACTATTTCAAAATGTTTTACATAACATTTTTTTTAGTGAAAAACATATTACCCCAAAAAAAATTGACACAATAGTGGCACCCGTGGCACCCCCAATCATTTCCACAGATCCAGAATTATTTTGGAAAAAAATGACACAAAAGTGCATCCCCTCACTAATCAGCATTACATTAACAATAATTAGAATCATCATAATTCAATGATAACTTATATAAATATACTCAGATGGTTCTCATATCGACCAACTCAGGTTGGAACTCAGTCCATTTCTCCGCTCTTTTGGGCCATCCAGAGTGGGGCCTTGCATTCAGCCAGGGCCATGTACCTCGGATACCGATCCTGACTCTTTCGTCCCAGTGGAGACTCCATAACTTAAGGTATATTTATTGGGGATACCATGGTGTTTACCGTGTGGTAAACTAACATAGCTATGGAAAATTACCATCTTTAGGTAATTCAACTATAAATGTGCCATGTTCAATAGCTATGTTCAATTACCAGAGGGTATATGGGGGGTTCCATAGTCATTGGGGTATCCAAAAATGGTTGGTTGATTTCATGGAAAATCTCAGAAATGGATGAGAACTGGGGGTAACCCTATGACTTGGGAAACCATTATTAATACAGTAATCATAATAATCATATACACAATCATATACACATGATATGTTTAATTTCAAACATTGTAACATAATATGTTTCCATTTAAATATATACCCTCTGGTGAACTAACATAGCAATGGAAAATCACCATTCTTAATGGGAAAATCCACTATTTCAATGGCCATTTTCCATTGCTATGTTAGTTCACCAGAGGGTATTCGAAATTACACCAACCTCACCTCGACATCACTGGAAATGATGGTGCTTAGGAGTGGGGGAATCATCCCAGCAAAAAACATTTTCTTCAGGTTAATGTATTACCATGAGAGGATGTAAACATGGAAAATTTATGTCTGTTTGCCTGATCCACGTATTAAAAAGCACCCGCAGAAACCCTGATTTAGTCTTCAGACTTTTGGCTTTCCATGTGGATGATCCCTGATACTGCACTCCATGATGGGGCCACCATGGGGCCACCAGAATCGCCAACTACTGTTGGACAGTCAACTTAGAGAACAAGAAACAAATTCGGAAGTTTTCAGTCATGATCCAGATTTTGAGATAGGCCCCGCAAACGGATGGTCATTTCGCCGTTGTGTTGTCTAAAAATCTTTTCAATGCGTTGATCCCTGTTTTTTGCCACCATTCTTCCTGACAAATCTGATGGTTGGTGGAATTTTCATGCCATATGGAGGTTTCCATAAATGGGGATCCCCAAAATGGATGGGTTTATAAGGGAAAATCCATAACAAAAATGGATGAAAACCAGGGGTACCCCATGACTTGGGAAATCTCCATATAGGAATCCCGCTATAATCCAACCAGATGACTTGTTTTCGACAGGATTGTTGATCTCCTTACGATCCGAGCGGATCGCGATGTGTACTACTACGGTTGCGACGAGCTTTTTACCAGACATCCAGACATCATCCACAGGCACGCCACGCGGAAAATCCCGGTTTCAATGGAGGTTTCAATGTTTCAATGGAGGTTTCAATGGGAAAATGCATCATAAAACCAGGGATTTTTAATGTTTGATGACGCCGGAGGGTATGTGTTTCCGTTTTTCATTGCCCAACAAGCAGTTTGGTGACTTTTTCTTGACGGGTAAATCATGGTATATCCCAAGTTTCCATGCATAAACAATCATAAACATACATCAACGTCCTCAATTTCCAAGCCGCAAAAATCCTCATCCCTCCTTCTCTCCGCCTCCAACTCCAGCAGGCTTTGCAAAGACGCCCCTACCCTGCTATGGACGTTGCTGGATGGCCTGCTATGGCGTTCCAGGCTCACCTTCCAGGCGCAAAGACGAGTGAATTACTACGTGAAGCATCTCGTGCAGGAGAACCGATCATAGCGCGATAGCGCTGCAGCTGTTTTTTGGATTTCATGTGGATTATATGGGGATTATCGATGATGATAGATTATGATGATTGTGATCTGAAAAATATGCAGATGATCTATGATTATCTGGGATTTATATACACAATTATTTGAGATTATGTGTATATGGACCATCCGTTTTTATTTTAAAGGGGTACCGGGTAGCAAATTTTGACCCCTATCAATATGATGGCTTTTAGTGGGACTTCATGGGGATTATCTATGAGATTGTATGAGATCATACTATCGGTGGTGCCCCAGTTTGTCAAAGGCAAAAAGGGTTTGTGGGGCATGTATCGAACTGGGAACTGGTTGGTTTTTAATCCAACTTATAGCTGGGGGCACCACCTTGTATGTTTTTTTTTTTTTGGTAGGGGGGAGGGGGAATTTAGGGACTCTCCCCCATTTATCCCACTAAACTTAGCCTAGTTATGCGGCTCCCTACGTATCAACAATGCTTGCAACAGCACCAGACGTACCTTTGCGCAGTGACAAACCTGAGATATCCCCATCATATCCGCCTGAGATTCTGCAATTGTATTCCCATTAATATCCATTGATATCCATTGATCCTCCATTTTTCTATTTCCATTATCCATTGATGTTCCATTTTTCATCCATGAATATCCATTCATATCCGATATTCCACAACAAATCTCCATCTTCTGCGTCATCGTCGAGAGGATCTGGATGGCAAGAGCAGCCAAACGCTCAGCTGGTTGGCTGCACACCAGGATCCCAAGGTCATCGTTCACCCCGTTGCACCTGGGCTTTGATAAAATGCTGGCTGGGAGAGTTTCATGGGAATGGGAGAGTTTCATTCATATCGTTTACCCTCTGGTAAACTAACATAACTATGGAAAATCACCATTTTTAATGGGAAAACTCACTATAAATTGCCATTTTCAATAGCTATTTTGACATAACCAGAGGGTATCTATGTTTATCTAGATAGAATATGATAGAATCATGTTGAATCCGATCAGGACCATTCATCCATAAACTGTGCCAGCGACCATTTCTCGCGATGTGGGCGTGGGTCATAATTGTGGTACCAATGCACTTGGATTTAGCCACATATTATAAATATGTGATAATATATGTCTATATATATATATGATATGTGATAATATGTGATAATATGTGATAATATGTGATAATATGTGATAAATATGTGATAAATGTGTGATAATACTAGTATCAAGCCATGTATTTTGGAGGGTTGATCATGCTTGTACAAGGTCCAGGTGGTTCCCGAGTGTGTTTGGTAGCCACACAACTCGGCTAACTAGGATGGGTTTCTGGAGAATATATCGACCTATACTTCACTGGGTTTATCCAACAAACATATCTGGTGGGGCCCCATTTCGTACATCTCCGGCTGCCGACCGCTTGCGCGGCACCCAAATCTAAGCATGACGAGGTCGTGATGTTTGCAGATCTCATTTGGAGCCGTTTGGCGATGTAACTTGCCATGTTCGATGACCGAAGGGTGGTCAGGTCAAGTCGGGAGGCACATGGAGGCAGAAAAATTCGAAGGACAGGTGTGCAGTGGGATGTGAACGCGTGAAAGATGGCGATTCAATTCTGAATTCAGATGTAGTGGCTCAGATTGATGATATGAAGTGGTTTTGAAATGGTTTCAATTTATTTAATTTGTTCAAGGCACTCGTTGGTGGTTTTGGTTCTAAGTTGACAAGCGAGTGATGGTCACGGCTTCTTCCAAGCTTGGATGACCATCCGGTTTTTCATAGCGGTGATCACCTATGTTCAATGGAATTTCGATCTTGGATTTTCACTTGGACTATCAATGATGCCTGCTTATCCTTATCCCCCGTAGTCATCCCATCTGGATATCCGGAGAAAACAACCAGACTTTCCTGTGTCGGCCAATCTACGCTCCATGTTGCCTAGTTAGTTTCTGAGGCATGTGAAGCAAGGGAGAGAGAGATTTTGAATGATTTTGGACTACAGATGAATATATAATTATATATATAATTATATATAATTATAATATTTATACATATATAACTATTATACATCACAAATCATCACAATATTAATTACATATATATTTATAATATGGTACTACGGTACTATCTGTTATTGGAAATCAGTGTTTAGGGAAAAGGCACAGGACTATGAGACTTCCTGACCAGGGTCCACTTGCGATGTCATCCGGGATGTGCTGAGGTACCATTTCCTTTTTGGCAGATGCTATTTCCTCTTTGCTGTGTGCGTCTTCGTGACGAGTTGCTCGACAGCATTGGTTGGTTCATAGATCCCATAGGTATCCATGGCGGCATGTGAGATGCTGAAGAGCCAGGGCCCTCTCGGAGCAAAGATAGAAAGCCTCTCGTCCCATGAGTTTAAAATCCTAATTAATGATTTATCATGGTGCATCTATAGAATCTATATAGTCGTCAATATACCAAAAAATAGTCAACAAAAAGGAATGTCCCAGCCTACCTCCAAGTCTGGTTCAAATGCAGGCATCCTAAAACTGAGTGAATGCCTCATTGTTGCAAGGGTTCACCTTGGGGGCAAAGACCTTCCTCTACTCCCTGCGCTGGGAAGGGTTTCATTCTAGGGATGCCAACCTCAGTCGTTTGTTTTTGTTTTTGGGGGGCCTGACATCCATGGAATCCAAGTGACCTTCAGGTCAAGCGGTTCTGTTCCGCCACGATGGTTCTGAAAGCATGGAGGAGAACATCGCCAGATTCGCATGCCGCTGTTTCCTGTACCTGGCCAGTACCTTTGCTCAACAGCCTGGGAAAGTGCAGATGTTAGGGATCTTGGTTGACAATGGTGCACATTACGACGTTGGTCATATATGGTCAGATATATATGCTTACATATGGTCATATATGGTCATATATGGTAATATATGGTCATATACGGTCATATATGGTTATATGGTCATATAATAATATATGGTGATATTGCATGTGGTTGGTGGGCGGTTTCAAATACACCCTTTGTATCCAACAGGAAACTGCAGTCTAACAGAATAAGTCATCACTTGCCCCTTTTACCAGTTCTATAAATTTCACAATGACAGACTTAAGTCATCTTTCCGCAAGTCATCTAATCTTGCCCTCTCGTAATCAAACATGGCATGGCCCTACCATTCATTTTGATGATTTTACCAGCTATAAACCTCTTTGGATATTAGATTTCCACGGATTTCCCAGCTTGCCATGTTTGATGCAGAGGCTTTCTCTGATATTCTATTCCCATGATATTCCATGATGACTTGTGGGAACAATACCCCATTCAATCACCATATATATATAATTATATATATATAATTATATATATATAATTATATATATAATTATATATATATGTACAACTCATCAACAGATCAACATTCCCCCTTAAACACAAATCCGCATATGTCCCATATGTCATAAATCATCAACAGATCCAAATCAATTGTGCCCCCCTGAATTTTCCACATCTGTCCTATATATGATGTATATAGATGTATATAAATGTCATAAATTTCAGCATTCCCCGTGAAGATTCCCGGTATTTCCCGGTTCTTTTTTCGTCTGAGGTATGCCCAAGCTGATGTTTGATCAGTGCCGCATGCTGGCCATGGACCTTCAGGCTCGCGAGCTCCGATGGCAACTTGGAGGGATTCAAGCAGCAAAATCCAGGATTTACCCTCTGGTTATGTCAAAATAGCTATTGAACATGGCCATTTATAGTGGATTTACCCATTGAACATGGTGGATCTTTCCATAGTTATGTTAGTTTACCAGAGGGTATGGATGTTGAAGTTTCTAAAATGTGGTTTAATATAAGCAGATTTACTATGGTTTGTGCATGTTGATGCTATAGTTAGCCCCGAAAAAGATAGGACAGATATTTGCTAGTTTTTTTTTTTCAGGAACTGATTTTCTACCTTTTTGGGCATTGCTATAGCTATAAACTCCACTTCGATGGGGTTATAAGCCAACTTATACATTTTTTTCGGGACACCCATGGGGTTTTCCACATCTTTTTGTATGTTTACCCCAGGATAAGCCAAGAGAATGGGGACCCTAATCCAAGCATGTTCTTGGGATAGAATGGGATATCATTTTCAGATCCCACTTAGTAGTAAAAAAACGCGACACGTGATTTTTGTTCAGCAAATATGAGGATGTAACCAACAAAAATAGGAATTTACTTGAACCATTGATTATATTATAACTGGTTAGTGTTTTTGGGGTTAGTTCACCCAGTAATGGGGTAACCCAGGAATATATCATCCACTTGTGATACATGGTAGATGATCCTCCGATGTGTTTGTTATTTTATATTTTTTTGTAATATGGTTAGGATTCAGGGCGCCAACTCCCGGAATGGACTTTTCTCCTAGGTTTGTGAGTTATATAGTTTTTTGCCAGGTTTTCCTGTTTTCATGTCCCTGGTTGTCATGACGTTTTTTTTTGCCAGGTTCTTCTGTTCTCATGTCCCTGGTTGTCATGATGACCGTCTGTGTTTGTGTCTGGGATACCAAAACTTGGGCAAAAATTCCACTTTCTTCGCAAGCCCTTTCGATATCTTACGTGCCACGGTGAAAAGTTGGATGTGGCCACATTGGGGATGGCCATTGATGGTCATTAATTATCTTTGGATTCCCATGGCATGGGATGGCAATAGAAGTTCTATGATTTTGGCAATTTCCCGCGCTGAAAGTGGCTAGGATTGGTTGCATCCCAACTCCTCGGCATCTATGGAGTCTGCAACATGTGCCTGGGCGGGAGATGCCAAGATGTGCCAAGATTGGAATTTTGAGTGAGGATTTGAGCGAGGAATGATGATCAATCGGGAGTTTGGGTGTATCTTATGTGCAATATATATATATATACACATCAATATATAAATATATACATATATATATATACACATCAATATATATATATATATATATGTACATCAATATATACATATATATATACATATATGTATATATATATATACATATATATATATATGTGTATATATATATACATCAATATATATATATATATATATACATCAATATATATATATATACATCAATATATACATATATATATATACATTAATATATATATATGTACATCAATATATATATATATATACATATATATATATACACATACAGTATATATCAGTATATTGTGTACATATATTATTTAAATGTACATTATATACATCGTTGGACACATCCATTGTTTGAGGCATGATCCAAGTGAATTTTGGATATATCTCGCCGTAAATTGGTTCGTGTAATTCTTATCCACTGTGTCATCAACTAATGGAATAGCAAGTTTACCCTCCAGGAATGAATCAAACATGGCAATGGATACTCCGAGGTTTTTTTGGATCATTGTCCCATCAAAACCTCCATTTATAGCAGATTTCCCAGCTTGCAATGTTTGATTACAGCATAGTTGTTTTTCCTGGATATCCAAAACTAGCCTTGACTAGACCCTCAGGAAATGATTTAGGTCAGGGTCTGAGTTACATAGCTGAACATTGGGGGGAACTTGATGAATTCACAAACTGTTTTATACTAAGTTGATATACTGTTATAAATAGTATAAATACTAATTGATTATAATTGGTAATTCTTCGTATAACCAGCTTCTTGAATCGGTTTTCAGCCCATCTTCTGATCATGGTCAGGAAAACTGATTGAACACCACTGGTGTACATGAATATGGAATAGTATACATAAATCTGTGAGTGCAAAAACAGAGGCCCTGCCAACATGATAGATCTGATAGATCATCCC